CAATTTTAAGAACTTAAGATTTTTGAAGAAGCGATATGTCAAAAGAAAGTGCGTTTCTTATGGATTAAAATGATGTATACAAAACTGTCAAAGTTATTTGCAGGAATAGGGAAAATACAATATACTAAGAAATTTACTCTGTACCAAAACTTTAATCATATCCCAATTTTACCAATTTTAAGAACTTAAGATTTTTGAATAAGCGATATGTCAAAAGAATGTGCGTTTCTTATGGATTAAAATGAGGTATACAAAACCGTCGTAGTTTGAAAACTGTCAAAGTTGTTTGCAGGAATAGGGAAATACAATACTAAAAAATTTACTCTGTACCAAAAATTTTAATGATATCCCAATTTTACCAATTTTAAGAACTTAAGATTTTAGAAGAAGCGATATATCAAAAGAAAGTTCGTTTCTTATGGATTAAAACTAGGTATACAAAAGAGTCGTAGCTTTAAAACTGTCAAAGTTATTTGCAGGAATAGGGAAATACAATACTAAAAAATTTACTCTGTACCAAAAATTTGAATGATATCCCAATTTTACCAATTTTAAGAACTTAAGATTTTAGAAGAAGCGATATGTCAAAAGAAAGTGCGTTTCTTATGGATTAAAATGATGTATACAAAACTGTCAAAGTTATTTGCAGGAATGGGGAAAATACAATATACTAAGAAATTTACTCTGTACCAAAAATTTTAATCATATCCCAATTTTACCAATTTTAAGAACTTAAGATTTTGAATAAGCGATATGTCAAAAGAATGTGCGTTTCTTATGGATTAAAATGAGGTATACAAAACCGTCGTAGCTTGAAAACTGTCAAAGTTATTTGCAGGAATAGAGAAAATACAATATACTAAGAAATTTACTCTGTACCAAAAATTGTAATGATATCCCAATATTACCAATTTTAAGAACTTAAGATTTTTGAATAAGAGATATGTCAAAAGAAAGTGAGTTTCTTATGGATTAAAATGTGTTATACAAAACTGTCGTAGCTTGAAAACTGACAAAGTTATTTGCAGGAATAGGGAAAATGCAATATACTAAGAAATTTACTCTGTACCTAAAACTGCAATGATATCCCAATTTTACCAATTTTAAGAACTTAAGATTTTTGAATAAGCGATATGTCAAAAGAAAGTGCGTTTCTTATGTATACAAAACTGTCAAAGTTATTTGCAGGAATAGGGAAAATACAATATACTAAGAAATTTACTCTGTACCAAAAACTTTAATCATATCCCAATTTTACCAATTTTATGAACTTAAGATTTTTGAATAAGCGATATGTCAAAAGAATGTGCGTTTCTTATGGGTTAAAATGAGGTATACAAAACCGTCGTAGTTTGAAAACTGTCAAAGTTATTTGCAGGAATAGAGAAAATACAATATACTAAGAAATTTACTCTGTACCAAAAATTGTAATGATATCCCAATATTACCAATTTTAAGAACTTAAGATTTTTGAATAAGGGATATGTCAAAAGAAAGTGCGTTTCTTATGGATTAAAATGAGTTATACAAAACTGTCGTAGCTTGAAAACTGTCAAAGTTGTTTGCAGGAATAGGGAAAATGCAATATACTAAGAAATTTACTCTGTACCGAAAACTGCAATGATATCCCAATTTTACCAATTTTAAGAACTTAAGATTTTTGAATAAGCGATATGTCAAAAGAAAGTGCGTTTCTTATGGATTAAAATGATGTATACAAAACTGTCAAAGTTATTTGCAGGAATAGGGAAAATACAATATACTAAGAAATTTACTCTGTACCAAAAACTTTAATCATATCCCAATTTTACCAATTTTAAGAACTTAAGATTTTTGAATAAGCGATATGTCAAAAGAATGTGCGTTTCTTATGGATTAAAATGAGGTATACAAAACCATCGTAGTTTGAAAACTGTCAAAGTTATTTGCAGGAATAGGGAAAATACAATATACTAAGAAATTTACTCTGTACCAAGAATTGTAATGATATCCCTGTTGAGCACAACAGAAAAAGGAAACGACCGTTCGGTTTTAGGGTATATAGAGAACTCTCAGATTTATTTACAGTTTACTTATATTTATAATATTAAAATCTAACAAAAAATTCTTATCAACTATAAAACAATGCATGTGGAATATTCTAATCAGAAAACATTATAATCATAAATTATGTATTTAATGTATGGTCATAAAAAAACCCACATTTACAATGCTTGTGCATTTGTTGCAACCATCAGTCTATGCTCTGATCGTGTGTTCATTAACATAAACATTAACGATCAAGCATCTGACATAAAGCATTAAATTTATTTTATTGATTTGGGCAAATACATAAAACTTCTAATTTATTGATAAGTTTTATACCCGTATAATATAAACATGCATTTCTATTCCACATGCATAGTTTTCTATTTTAAATATCAAAATTCAATCTACAAGATTGAACATTCTGCCTTTTTTGTAATTCGGACAAATACTCGGACGACCAACGTTCCCAAAACTTTTCAGTATTAGATTGCACGGCTTTCCAATGCTCACGCAAACCACTATAACATTTGTTATCTATTGAATCATTGAAAGTATTGAATGGCTCTCCTATCAAGAAATGTTCAGGGGTTAAGACTTGGAAATCATTAGGATCATTTGACAAAGGAGTCAACGGACGTGAATTAAGAACAGACTCTATTTGTGTCATTAAAGTATAAAGTTCCTCGTACGTCATAGTCCCTTCTGTCACTTTATAAAAATGTTTCTTAACAGATTTTACGCAAGCTTCCCATAATCCGCCCACATGTGGAGACCTTGCTGGTATATTCAGCCATTCAATATTCTTTTGAGCGCAGAATTAATCAACATTTTTACAGTGCTCTTTTTCTGAAAACAGTTTATGTATTTCATTTAAGCTATTTGCAGCGCCTATAAAATTTGTAGCATTATCCGAAAATATCTTCCCAGGACAACCTCTTCTAGTTACAAATCTTTTCAACGCACCTATAAATGCAGCGGAAGTTAAATCAGATACGACTTCCAAATGAACAGCTTTAGTCGCAAAACAAACAAATACGCATACATACGATTTGACTATTTTATTTCCTCTGACCTTATAATGGATTGTTATAGGTCCAAGAAAATCAATTCCTACATTCAGAAATGGACGTGTTCTAATAACCCGATCCTCTGGTAAGTTACCCATTAACTGATGTAACTGTCTAGGATTTAATCTGAAACACCTATAACAATTGTTTATCACATTTTTTACTAATTGGCGACCTCTCAGTGGCCAAAATCTTTGACGTACTATTGCTAGTAACCCTTGTGGTCCTACATGTAGATGTTTTCTATGCAAGTCTTCTATCATTAATTTTACAACATCATTTTTATAAGGAAGAAGAATTGGATGTTTTGTATCATACATTATACCACTGTTTTCTAGTCTTCCTCCTACTCTGATTAACCCGTCATTATCCACAAACGGGTATAAGGTTGTCAAATTCGATGATTTTGCCAATTTTTTATCAGATTTTAAACATTTAAGATCTTCCGAAAAATGTTTCTCCTGAATATTGTTTACAATTGTTTTTAAAGCAAGTTTCCTGAAATAAATGAAATGCTCTTTATCCCTTTTTCTAAGCACATGAATAAATTTATGTACATACGCCACTATATTTTGCAAAACATTAAAATTATTCCTATGATTTATTTTACCAAAAATATCATTACTCTCTCTCACTATAATAACCTTTGCAGACTTTTTATTTCTGGTATCTCACACTTTTCTAACATCCTTGAAATATATGGTTCTTTCTTTAATAAGAATTTAGGACCATTAAACCAAAATTTATTTTGTACTATTTCTTTAACCAATAATCCTCTTGAAATAAGATCTGCTGGATTATCTTCTGAGCTGACATGTTTCCATCTATTTATATTACTATTTTCCTGTATAAAGCTTACTCTATTTGAAACAAATATCTGCAAACGTGCCGGATCTAATCTAAGCCAGCTCAAAACTATTGATGAATCACTGTAGTAGAAAACATCATTGAATTTTATCTTCAAGCTATCGATTACTAATTCCAATCTTGGCAGTGAAATAATTTTAATAGAAGCTATTCTTGATTTAGATGCAGCTAAATGACAGTAAACTATCCCATTGCTGTCTATGGACTTTACATAGACAGCTGCCCCATATGCCTTCATGGATGCATCACAAAATCCATGAAGTTCTATTTGTGTTGGTTTGACACAAATAATATGTCTTGGAACGTTTACTTCATTCAGAAATTTGAAATTATCATTAATTTTAAGCCAATTTTCAGTCATTTGCTCTGGAATTTTATCGTCCCAATCAAGTTTTAACTTCCATAAATCTTGGAGCAGCATCTTTGTTTTTACCGTTACTGGTCCTATTAAACCTAGTGGGTCAAATAACTTAGCAACTTCGCTTAAAATTGTGCGTTTTGAAATTTTATTCTGAAATTCCAATTTACATTTCAAACTAAATCTGTCTGTTTTTGGGTTCCATACAATCCCCAATATTTTAACAGACTTCAAATTATTTGATTCTATATTTAAATCATTTTCTATATAACTAGGATCAATACCTTGGAGCAATACTTTTTCATTAGTACACCATTTCCTTAAAGGCATACCGAAATCCATCAATATATTGTCAATATTTTCTCTAACTCGTTTTAATTATTCTATACAATCTCCTCCAGTCATCAAATCGTCCATGTAAAAATCATTCCTAATTACGTCTGATTCAATTGGAAAATTGTCTTCTTTACAATCTGCAATTTTTTGTAAACATTTTACTGCTAAATATGGAGCCGAAGCTGTTCCATATGTAACAGTTTTAAGAGCATATGTTTTAAAAGTTTCATCTGGATTCCAGCGCCAAAATATTAACTGATATTTTCTGTCTGCTTCAGAAATCCAGATTTGTCTATACATTTTTTCAATGTCAGCTGAAAAAACATAACGATGTTTTCTAAATCTTAATAAAATATTAAAAGATCTTGCAGCCTAGGACCAGTATGTAAGATATCATTTAGCGATACATTAGTTGTTGTCTTACAAGACGCATCAAATACAACTCTTAACTTAGTTGTTGTACTCTCTGGCCTAAGTACACAATGATGTGGTAAATAATACCCACTATTCATAAACGAATTATTATTTATCAATTCCATATGACCCATTTCCAAATATTTTTTAAGAAATTCATTATATTCCAATCTAAGTTCTTTGTTTTTCTCTAATTTTCTTTCTAGAGCAATGAACCTTCTTTTAGCTATTATGGTAAAATTACTCAATTTATTCTGTTCATCTTTAAATGGAAGTTTAACTTCAAACTTACCATCTGTAAGTCTTTTAAAATTTTCTTCAAAATGTTGCTCACATTGCTTTTCCGCAACTGTGAGATTATTCATTTTTGGAACCTCTTCCAATTCCCAAAACTTTTGTAACAATTCATCACAAGATGTTTGAATTGTTGTGACCACACTTGATTCTGGTTTGGAACCATTTGCTGTCATCAGTCCATATGCTACCCAACCTAACTTTGTGTTACGTAGCTTTGTGTTTGTCTTTTTATCAATTATTTGCCCATCGCAAATCAGATCAAACACAAATTGATTAGATAGTAATAAATCCACTCCTTGTGGAATATTATATTTGGGATCCGCTAATTTAATATTAGATGGAAAATTTCCCAACAACATTCGCGTTCCTGGTACGTTTGACACAAATTTGTCAATGACGACCGCATTAAGGAATGGTTTATATTGGGTCACTTTTGATCGAAGTGATATCCCAACCTTTTCCTCTATGGAAGATTTTTTCCTTTCTAAACCTTCCACTTCTTTGTTTATTTGGCAACCTTTTATATTCAACTTATTTCTAAATTCTTTCGAAATAATGTTGACTTGTGCCCCACCGTCTAATAAAACGCGACATTTTTTCCAATGGCCATTTCCATCCTTGACTTCCACTACTGCTGTTGACAACACTGCTTCGTCGTCTTCATCACTGTTTACTATTACTGTCTTCGCAGGGATCTTTTCCCTATGAAGAAGAGTATGATGATCACCATTGCAGCTTCCACAAATAAAATTACTTTTACACATTTTATTTGAGTGTCCAACACCGAGACATCTGAAACACACTTTACCGTCCCGTACCTTATCCCATTTTTCATTTATAGATAAGTTCCTAAATTTGGAACATCTATTTAAATTATGTCCAACTGCACAAATCAGTGGACATTTTATTTTAAATGAATTCGTTGGAGGATTTGTCTTTTGACTTGCCCCCTGAGTTTGCATGTTTTGTCGGGAAGGATTTACCACATTTTGGTTTGCCTCCCAAGACCATTGATTTACTCTTAGAGGATTTACCATCTTTCTTTCACCCTTTGTGAAATCTTGGCTTGCCTCCAAAGAATATTGAATTTGTTTTAGAAAATCAACTAGACTATCCACTTTTGGAAGTTCTTTTGATTTTCCCAAATGTTGTTCAAATTGGATTCTTAAGTAATCATCCAATTTTCGCTGAAGCACGAAACAAAGAAATGCCTTTTGCATTTCTTCTGGGTTCAGTTTCATGGCTTCTAATGCCTGCAAACTCTCATTTATTTTTGTTAAAAACATATTAACGCTTTTTACGTTATATGTTACGAAAGGGGCTTCAAGTATACTCTTAAAGTATATTGATGTTATTGCCCTTTTGTCGGAGTAGTATTCATTTAGAATACTCCAGGCTACTTCAAAGTTCTCATCCTTTGATGGCAACTTTGAAATCTTTTTTGCCGCTTCTCCTGACAACTTCGCTTTTAACATACACATTTTTTGGGTATTTGACACAGGCTGATCTATTATCAGCTGCTCAAACAACTCTCTAAATGTTTCCCATTCCGTAGCTTTTCCACTAAAAGTTGGTATATCTATAGTGGGCAGCTGGAATGGTAATGTTTTGGCATAGCTTTCTATGCCCGGGATATTTTGGTATTCGTCACGTAAATTGTAGAAAATGTCAGTCAATTCGTCATCTGGAAATTCGCCCATATATTTAATAAATTGATTTTCGGCTAATTTAAATTTTTCTTTAAGAATTTCAATCGTGACTTCCTTATTTTTAAATTTATTCAATTTAGCTTCCAAATCATCCAAAATATACTGGAACTGCCGAATCAGTCCAGCATTTTTATTTCTGACAGAGGTTTTTTCCATATCACCTCTGCCAGAATTTATTAAACCTTGCTCTCTTTGAAGCAGAAATGGTACACCAGGCTCCTTTTGCCACATTGGCACCTTTGTAACATTGGTGCCCACAGTGGGGCAGAATGGAAATTTTTTGGAAATAAATCTGGCATTTCTAAACGGCTGATCCGATCGGAATAAAATTTGGCGTGAGCGTAGCCAAGGCGCTGTGGCGGCTCAAAGTAGGGTACCTACGACATGTAAAATTTTTAAACTCGTGCCATTTTTTTGTTTTTCACCCAAATACAAAGATTTTTATATTTTGTGAAAGCGCTCGACGAGATCTTGAAAAAACATGCTTGGACATACTACTTATCTCTTATAATATCCGAGCATTTAAAAATTTAGTGATACAAAATTTACCATACCTTGGTCCGCCTTTTTTTGAATACCGGGCGTAATTTTGGACCAAATGGACTCAATTTTTTCTTGTTAGTTAGACAACAAAATTTCCAATAATATACAAAAAATTTCAGATCAATATCGTTTACAGATCCAAAAATATACGTTTTTTAATTTAAAAATTCAAAAAATTTTAGATTTTTGGCGTTTTTTTTGCCAAAAATGTGTCTTAACTCTTTTATTAATAAAATAATTTTTTTATTAAGAACATATAACAATTTTATAGTTTTCTAAAAGGTATCTTTACGCAGAACGCTTTGGCGTAAAAAACTTGTCCTATTTTTTGAAAATGTTGCCACTGCGTCCTTCCGAATATGACCTATTTTTTATCAAAACTTCAACTTTGGGCGACATGTTCTAAAATCCCAAAGCTGGGATCAGAAAACTGAAAGCAGTTTTGGAAACCTCAATATGTTTTCTATTTACTCCAAAAGTATTTTCCCAGCCCTGAAAGAAATGTGGACCCTATGGGCAAAAAAATAAAAAATCCCATTTTTGGGATTTTCATTCCTATTTTTGGGAATTGCGGGATGCCCTTTGACCTTTTCAATTTTTTTTTGCATATTCTTATTTGAAATGACAAATTTAACAAGCGTTGAAAATTTCATTGAGTTTTGTTCATAAATAAAGATTTTGTCATATATTACATATTTGTTTAATTTCTAAAACTATGATTTATATAAACATTTTAATAGGATCGCAGATAGCTACAACAATTTAGTCCATATTTATCCCTTAATATCATTTTTTAGTTAGATATGGAAATTCTCGACCCTTTACAAAAAATTTCAAGCCAATACTCAATTACATTCAAAAATATGTTCATTTAAACCTGTGTCCTTTAATTTCATCTTTTTCATATTTTAGTATTAAGTATGACAGCACATATTTAAATCTTATATTTACCTATTTTTCTATTTGTTATAATTGAAAGGTCCTATTATGCTTAAATTTTCAAAAATTTATAACTATTTTTTACCTAAATTTTTTCGACAGATCATTTCGTTCTGTTTCGTTTAAGATCATGTAGGTAAAAATATACAGGTAATGATAATTTCGATTCATTCACTAATAAGAAATATCAATGACTGAATTACAGGTTATAGTAATATAGTCCTAAATGTTAATAGGTAGACAATTCGTAATTTTTTACTTTGGAATACCTGTATCGGAAATGACAAGAATTGGTATATAAGTAAACTTCTCAGATTTTAAGTACCATATTTAATAAATCTACAATGAAGATTACATTAAAGTACGAAGAGTTGTGTTCCGTTTTATGGAGTATATCTTCAAAAGGTCCAGAAAGAATTGAAGACATTTCAAATTATATAAAAGCTACATATAGTAGAAAAGTAGACAAAACAGGCATATCAAAAATTGAAAACTTTTTAAAACTTTTTGATGTAAAAAGTAAGTCTGTGGATGGAAATCAAAAGAAATTTCGATTAAAATTTTGTAGTTGGATGGAAACTACTACGGAAATCTCAACTTACAACACATCAATAGGAGCGCCTTGCAAGTCATACGAAGACTTATGTTCAAGGTCAAAAAAAAGAGGGTCATACAAAAACTTTTTTCAATCTCAAATGAGGAAATTGCTGATACATTTAACGAAATGCTGAAAAAGGAAAACCAACATATGGATGTCGTACATATTGCAACTATTCTTCCTAATGCATCACCAAAACGACTTAAGCGAATTGTGGAAAGTATACCAACTCCAACATCATAATCAAATTTTACTGAAGAGGAAGCAATAGCGCTTATGTTGGAACTGGGTCTCAGTCGAAATAAGTACCAAATATTAAGGAAAGCTCTGCATGAAAAAGGACACAATATATTACCATCATACAAGGCGATCCAGGAAAAAAAAACAAACTATCCTACTAAATCAACAAAAAATAATGAAGAATTGAAAGAACTGAGAGCTGCGGAAAAAAAGCAGAATCCAAGAAGAATTTAAAGTTCAGATGGGATTAAACATCGACAAACCACTTTCAAGTTGCGGTAGTACAAATGACGGTAATACGTCGAGAAGGTTTTTTCGTGATTTTGAAATTACTTCAAAAATAACTGGAATCGACAAGGAGTTGCTTCGAAGAGTTAAAACTATTTTAATGGCACTGAATAGTAAACATAAAATTAATGAAAATCGATTTGGGGAATACACATCTGAAATGTCTAAATTACTTGTATCTCTGTATCCATAGAGGGAACTAACACCAACAGTACACAAAGTATTGTGTCATGGTCAAATAATAATTGAATCGAATATTCTTCCACTTGGAGAGTTAACAGAAGAAGCCCAGGAAGCGAGGAATCGAGATTTTAAGCATGTTCAACTATTCAGCTCAAGAAAATGCTCCAGGCAATCACAGAATGAAGATATTTTTAATAGTTTACTTCTATCTTCTGATCCTGTTCTTTCAACTATGCGAAAAAGATGGATTTGTTATGAAACTCTATCATCTCAAAACAAGGAAGATTTAAAGGACTTATATTACCTTCTGGATATGTATACCGATATGACAGATTATTTTATAGAAAATAAGTAGTGTTAGGAATTAACTATATAAGTAGGTTGTAAGAATTAATTGTATTATGTTTAAGATAAACAGTTCAAATAAAAAAAGCTATTATACTAACTGATGATATTGTATTAAATTGTGTTTTATATTTCGGTGGGCGGGAAAGGTAATTTGTGTGGGGTGATTTAGGTGTTGTTGTGCGTGGCTCATAATAAAATTATAATTTTTTTTTATTTTATATACAATATTATAATAAAATAATTAACTAAATAATTTTTAAAAATTGTCCAAATATTTTATTCAACACTAAATGTATGTTCTGTCATACTTAATACTAAAATATGAAAAAGATGAAATTAAAGGACACAGGTTTAAATGAACATATTTTTGAATGTAATTGAGATATTGGCTTGAAATTTTTTGTAAAGGGTCGAGAATTTCCATGTCTAACTAAAAAATGATATTAAGGGATAAATATGGACTAAATTGTTGTAGCTATCTGCGATCCTATTAAAATTTTGATATAAATCATAGTTTTAGAAATTAAACAAATATGTAATATATGACAAAATCTTTATTTATGAACAAAACTCAATGAAATTTTCAACGCTTGTTAAATTTGTCATTTCAAATAAGAATATGCAAAAAAAAATTGAAAAGGTCAAAGGGCATCCCGCAATTCCCAAAAATAGGAATGAAAATCCCAAAAATGGGATTTTTTATTTTTTTGCCCATAGGGTCCACATTTCTTTCAGGGCTGGGAAAATACTTTTGGAGTAAATAGAAAACATATTGAGGTTTCCAAAACTGCTTTCAGTTTTCTGATCCCAGCTTTGGGATTTAGAACATGTCGCCCAAAGTTGAAGTTTTGATAAAAAATAGGTCATATTCGGAAGGACGCAGTGGCAACATTTTCAAAAAATAGGACAAGTTTTT